GACCCGTACTTATTTTTGACTTCAATTGATGGCAGAATGATTTAAAAGAAGATATCAGCGTTGTTACACTCTAATATCAACCGTGATACAGTCAAGTTTCAAAGCACGGCAAACTACCAGAGGTAGAATGGAAGGATTTAATAGATGGGTCAAAAATGTCGAATTTGCCCATTTCATCCAAACGGGAGGCCTAAATTCAAACAACGAGTCACATTTACGCGCATATTAGAAAGTCGTATTTATAAGTCCTAAAGCACTTAGTCACAACCACGGAGCCTTGCGAACTGCAATAGGCCAAAAAGAGATTCTGTATAAAGGTTAGTTAAGAGAGGAAGAAAATACTTCAATACCAGCAACCTATAACTTAGTTTTTTTGTTCTGTACTGTGTGAATGTCGTATTTCATGAGCCAGAGAAGACGTCCAATACACTATCAAAACATGGATTGACGATCGTGTTTGACTGAGTACAAACTGGAGGCTAAAAACAAGTCGCGGAATAAATCATCCAGCACTGTTTACAGATAGGCGATTGAACAAGGTCTGATTAGTGGTCAACGGGGCTGCATGGTTCTAACTATCGACGGCATTTTAACACGAGAGCACCTGAATGACATTCTCGTCTACATGGACAATGCAACTATTTGTGACCCTTGAAGCGATAATTAAACACGGAAATAGTCGTGAATTTCGCTTCTGCTTTCGACTCTGCCGATCATGATTCCATGTGACCGATCACGTTGAATGGCGGCATTAAATCGAAATTACTTCTCCTGATTCAGGCCTTATTATCAGACGGCACAGACCAAGGTCCCCTTGGGTGGCAACAGGAGGGACTTCTTCGAGGTCATCTCAGCCTTCGTCGGGTGTGGGTTTTGTCATCAGATCTATTCAATTACGCGGTCGACTGCGTCTCTTAACATGTGCTAACTAACACCCTTCCCTAGCGTCACGGTAGGTCGTGGTTCGGACATTTTGAACTTTCATTAGCTTGACGTTGTTGCAGTGTTGGCGAGCTTTTTCTCAGAGACGCTGTGCATTGTCTCCCAGGCAAGGGTGAATGCTGAGGAGTATACTATGATCGACTGTGGTGGAGTGCGGTAGTTCGTGATGTGGATCTACAGCGCAGAGTTGACTAGATCAGACATTGAAATGTCGTTACAAAGGACGGCAAGGTAGCACAGTTGTTTTTTTATTTATTACGAAGTTCAACTGAAGCATGCTTCTCTTGATACAATGATGTATGCTATGCGGTGATTGGAGCTGGACATGTCTAATAAGTTTTCTCACACAACCAGCGTTTGCAACGATAAAGGAAATGGTTGGTTGAATTTCTTTGGTATAACCACTGTATTTTAGCCCATAAGCGTCACAAAAACACTGGAGTACGTTGGCCGCCCGGCGTTTTATAATTACTTTCATAAGGCTTGGAAGTTTCGCACGGCAGTATCGAGGGGCAGGTTCATCTCACAATGTCTATAGACGTTTTGCAGCCAAGCCTACCTTAAGTCCAAATACTCGAAGAAGCATGATCAGAACTTTCGTCCAAAAACAGCTCAGTCCGATTTTATAGGATCTCCGATTTTTCCGCGTACAGGCACTGTGGAGTTGAAGATTACCTCAGACGCCCATAATCGCTCAGACCCACTTCGACAGTCAACCGTTTGATGGGTTGTGCTGCCGCCTCCGCATAGACATATAGACGGACATATATCCGTCAAGATGGTTTAGACTACATATGGCACCAACCAGCCAATGCCTAGGTTTGACGGCAAGTCGTGGGGTAGAAAACTCTTATGTTGCCTCGTCGGGGATATTGGTTTCTCCCAGGCGTTTGTGGTGTGCCCCATGATACACCACGTCGACCTCGATGAGATAATAAAAGTTGCCCCTGGAAGCCCAGATGACAACAATCCCACTTTAAAGAAACCTGAATATTCTGAGGTACGTCCCTATGTGTGTTATTCGATTAAAAGAAAATGGACGGTCGAGAATCTATAAAAGAAAGTGTGCCGTTTGGACTGCGATCCATGGGAAGCATACCAAGGCATGCAGTAGAAAGTCCAGTTTGCGGTGACGACCAAAAAACTGCAAACTAGGACGCAGTTCTGTAAAAAATTATGCAGACATAAAACTGCAGAGAAGCGCAGCGAATTAATTAATAGCACCAAACAAACGGCACACCCCAGCACCAAACGTACGCCATTAAACCTCGAAAAGGCCGCGCTACTTTAAAAAATTGTCTCATCAGTCAGAGTTAAATCTGTTGAACCGTTGCAGAAACTAGTATTCTAAACACCATGTTGGTGTTATGTCAGCATCGGCGCCAATGTGAGCCGTAAGCTAAACACCTCAGTCCCTTATGAAAACTATGTCCAGCAAAATCAGAGATTTAGTGGAAAAGCTGGTATAAATAGAACAGCTGCTATTTTTGTCTGCTTATACCAAAGTCGCAGAACAATTAAGCAGCAATGAAGAGCAAAACGTCGATACGACGACGGTCGGAATAATTAAGCTGTAATAAACTGATTATAAAAAAACCGCAAAATTAAAAAATTGGGCACTTAAAGTTTATATGCCATCGTTTATATGCTCAAACCGCAAAGCTGGCTTGCGGCCATATCTGAAATACAAACTTGCAGAATGAGTAAATCTTTACTTTAGGCTAGCTTGTAGCGGCCCATGTCGCTCTGACTACGATAGAAACCTCAAGCTTTTTTGAAATAATATGCATCTACAAGGCAAAAAGCGTTTTCGATGAACCGTCCGACGTCAAAAATTTACTTAATAAAGTTTTCGCCCTTTCCCAAAAAACGTATTTGATTTCAAATAGTTATGTACGTACAAATACGCAATTGGACGAGCAGTCCCTTAATTCTTCACAATGGGCTCGCTTGAACGTCTAAAACACTTGACGAATAGTCCATTGGCCCCAGAAAAACTTGTCGTTATCTAGATTCCCGTCCTTAACTTTCAAAATACATACATACGGCATGACATCGTACTACAAGGAACTCATACGCCGAACCTATAAATGTGTATATGTCTCTACGGTTAGGAGCGCATTTCATGGGTGTCCTTAAAGATTGGGACGTCGTATTTTCTGGAAAAGCAGTTTCATCTATTCGGTAGCGGGCAGCTATCATAACCGGTCTGGCGTCATTGTTCAAGACCTCGCTGCCTCAAGGTCATACACCCCTTACAGCGAGTCGTTCCAGTCGCTCTGACCTGAAGCCACTCGACCGACTTCAGCTCGAGCACACTCGCGTCCTCAAGGTGTTGCGGCTTCCCATGCGTCACTTGAACACATCGCCCCCCTGCAACCACAGCCTAAGCCACTGGGACACTATCCCTCGGCAAATGCAACACACACTGACTGGATACCACTTAAGTTTAGCCCAAGAGCCTACAAAAGCGGCTGCCACCACTATCTCAGGGACTCTCAGGGCTGACTGGACGCAGTCAACACCAGCCCTGGCTTTGCCAGTGGCCACTGTTGCCTGAGAGGACAACTCCGGGTTCTGTGCACAATAAACCCCGCATTCAGGTTCCTTTTTCTCTCTCTCCTTTCAACACAAGAATTAGCCCTGATTATGGTGGCGCTCAGACTGCACACACTCACACCGCCTGGTCACGACAATTCTACCAACTATTTTTTTCCCGAAGTCTGCTTGTTGCAGCCTCTGGATTAGCGTAGTTGACTAGACACGTTAATTCACGTTAATCAAATAGTCCACTTTCGCATTTCAGCCCTCCGTTCATGTCCGAAACGCTAAAAGGACCTAGTTTGACGACATTACCTGTGAAAAGATTAGTGTTACCGATATGCGTCACAGGTGCATGCTGCCATCATTTAAATAGTCCCACCTATGTGTGCAGCAGTTTCTCAACACACAATATGGAGTCTGCATTTAAACGTCATAATGGTGTCCGGAAGTACCAGTTTCGTATTTCTGGAGTCATGAATATTTTGCTTTTAGTGAGAACTTTTATTTCGGTCTGATGCTGAACTAACTACGATTGGATCCACTTGGGTGCCTGCTAATTTCAGGCTGCTGATTATCCGGGCAGTTGCTTAGATCGGGTCGCATAGATCATCTGAGTCGCTCTGGGGGTTAGGCATGGGTAACTAGTCTAGCAAGTGAAAAAAGATGATCAGGGATCAAGACCAGGAAACTTTCATTGTTAACTTGCAATCAAAGTTATCAAAATCATATTATGGCGTGTACAGTACTGTCTCTGATAATGTGATATCTTAGTTAAACTGACGGTTGTTTCGATCTAATCTCATTGTTCATTTGTGTCATTCGCAATATGATCAGTGAACGCTCCTCCAAGATTAATTACTGTTCCTGATCGAAACCAAGAGGACGAAGGGGCCGTGGTTCAGTGGTTAGAGCGTAAGACTTACTTCCGTGGAGAATCGATGGTGCCAACTGCGGAACAGAGACCAGTCGACATCGCTGGTCGTCCTCGGTCGTTCACGTCGCCAAAGCCAGGAGTGGTTTTATGACAACGACGCCGCCATCAACAACCTGCTCGCCGAGAAGAACCACCTGCACGCAGCCTACGTCGACCGCCCGACCGACGACAACAGAGCGGTCTTCTATCCTGTTTGCCGCCTTGTGTAGCAGTGGCTGCGGGAAGTGCAGGACGCCTAGACGGCTCTCAAGGCCGAAGAGATCCAAGGGAACGCGGACCGCAACAAATGGAAGAACATCTCCGCGATCAAAGCTGTCTACGGTTCGCTAGCCCAAGGTACTGAACCTCTCATCAGCGCCGACGGCAGCACCATACTCGCTGAGAAGACACAAATTCTTTAGCCATGGACTGAGCACTTCAGAGGCGTCCTCAACCGTCCCTCCAACATCTCCGACGCCGCTATCGTCCCGCTGTCTCAGTAGGAGATCAACGCCGACCTCGAGCTCCCGCTCTCTCTCCACGAAACCATCAAGGCCGTGCAACAACCCTCCAACCGGAAAGCGCTTAGAACGGACGCGATACCTGCTGAGCTCCACGAGCATTATGGTTCACAACTCAAAGATCATCTGACAGTGCTCTTCCAGGAGATGTGGCGTGAAGGAGACGTCCCGGAGTATTTCAAGGATACCACAATCGTCTAGCTCTGCAACCGGAAAAGGAATGGTCAAATCTGCGACAATCACTGAGGCATTTCTCTGGTTAACATCGCTGGGAAGATCTTCGCTCGCAATCTTTCCAACCGCCTGAACAACCATCTGGAACACGAACTCCTGCCGGAAAGTCAGTGTGGCTTTCCTCGTCATCGTGGAACCATGGATATGATCTTCGCTGTTCACCAACTGCAGGAGGAGTCAGGAGACTCTACCTTCGTGGGTCTGACGAAAGCCTTCGATACGGTGAATCGTGATGGACTGTAGAAAATCATGCAGGAATTCGGCTGTCCCGAACGGTTCACTCAAATGGTGCTTCAGTTCCACGATGGCATAATAGCGCGAGCCACGTACATTGGAGCTGTCCCGGAGCTATTCGCAGTGACCAACGGAGTGAAGCAGAGCTGCGTCTTCGCGTCTACCCTCTTCAGTCTCCTGTTCTCTGCCATGCTGGTAGACACCTACCGTGACGAACGCCCCGGAATCTGCGCCGTCTACAGGGCTGGCTGCCACCTCCTCAATCAGCGGTGGATGCACCTCCAGTCGCGTGTATCCACAACCACCGTCCACGAACTTCTGTTCCCCGATGACTGCGCCCTCAATGCAACTACTGAAGGAGACATGCAACGGGGCATGGAGCTCTCCTCTGCCGCATGCAAGGACTTTGGCCTCATAACCAACACGGAGAAGACGGTGGTCATGCAGCGCCTGCAGATTAACCCGGCAAACTGGGAAGACTTCGCCCGCGCCCGAGACCGACCTACGTGTAGGAGGACAGCGACGACGGGTGCAACAATCTTCAAAGCCAACCTCATCACCGCTAGAAAAGTCAAAGGCGAGACGCAACTGCCTCCAACGTGTCCACGATGGCGATGGATATTCCGGGCTTCAATTTGACTTGTTGGACACCTCCGGACCAACTACAGCATTCGGATTGCACGAAACGTCGTCTCTTTGTCCAGCTCCCATCCTCCTCCTCCTCCTCCTCCTCCTCCTCCTACATCGCCTCAACGTCTGCCGATGTGGCGTCTGTCATGCCCAGCAACGCTACATACAATTCTGTGTGAGGACGCAATACGAGATCCAGGATTGCATATCACGTATTACAGCCTACTGAATCCCAAAACAGTAGTTTTGCCTTATCAGCCGCGACAGCAGTGCGATCCGTTCAGTCACTGCACCCTTACACGGAAATCTTTCGTGATGTTGAGTACTACGGGGTTTTCTTCCCTTAACTCCGTTAGAATCCGTGTACATTTCTATATTTTGCCACCCATACCAGGGGTTTTCTTCCCTCAGGTCCCTGGGGTTCGGTTTACATTTCGGTAAGTTGCCATCAGTACTGACCACAGGTTGAACAACGTTGTTTTTAGCCACTGCACCCCCACACGGAAATCTTTTGTAAAGGGCTACTTCTAGGGATTTTCTTCCTCTCCCTTGTCAGGTTCAATTAACCTTTCGATAGGCTACAATCCGTACTAGGGGTTTTGTTTCTTCAACCGTTTCCGGTTCGGTTCTAATTTCGGCTACTTGTCCTGTGAACTGGCGCTTAGTTCGTTAGCGTGGGTTTCCCGTCAGCCAATGGGAATGATCAGCATTGCTGGAATGTAATACTTCGTTTATCGTATCTGGTACCGGTTGCGGCTTCTTCGATCATGTCGCTCTCAGCGACCGTTTTTTCCCCTGCCACAACCATCGCAGTCACTTTCGCCGCGTGTATGGACAAACGATATAAACGCAAGTTAAAAAGAACACCAACAATCCGTTTGAGGGACCTTTTTTTACAAAAGACTTTATTACATGTTGAACACACTTCGGCATGGGATGTTCTGCTTATCGGGAAATTTCTGAGCATGATGTCCAAGAAAGGCATTCCAGGCCACATTCAGACCGCTTCGATCGAGACGAAACCAATATTCTGTACGGGGCTTCGTCCACATGAGCTCAGAGAGGCCTTTCGGAGACCGACCAACTTTCCCGCAGTTTTCTCTTCAGCCGGCTCCAGTGTGCCTCGATGACCCTTGTGTGGTGGCCTGTTTCAGGATCCACAAAAAGTCTGGAGTGGTTCATAGTGTAGTGCTCGTATCCTTCTGCAGGTAGGGCACTGTATGCCTTCCATTCGTCCGTAATTATTATGCTGCCAGGGACGACCCACTTCTTTATCACGGTTCTAAGGGACGGCCAGTTCCTGTTACTGACCTGTTCGAAAACAGCCTTCCGCTGCTGGGTATCGTAGATGCCGAGTACCCTATATGGCCTTCGCATCCGTCTGACATTATATTCCCCTCTAATGACCATTGTTTCATCAATCTGCACCTCAATTTCGCGCCCGCTAAGTTGTCTGCTTTCGTTCATTAAGGTAGCTGAACGATCAAATCTGTCCACGGTCCGCCAATCAAAGTTACTTCACCTATTCACTGCGCCGACAGCAGTACTCTACTCATTGAGAAGACACAAATTTTACAGTGATAGGATGAACAATTCAGAGGCGTTCTCAACCGACCCTCCACCATCAGTGACGCCGCCATCGTCCGTCCGTCTCAAGTGGAGACCAACGTCGACCTCAACCTCCCGCTCTCTCTCTCCACTAAAACAAAAGGGCCGTGCAACAGTTCTCCGGCGGGAAAACGCCCCGAATGGACGCGACCTCTGTTAAGCTCTACAAGCACGGTGGCACCCAAATCACGGATAAGCTGACGGCGCTCTTCAGGGAGATATGGCATCAAGGAGACGGCCCGAAGGATGCCACAATCGCCCATCTATATATGCGGAAAGTGAAACGACCCACCTCTGACAAACACAAAGGCAACTCGCTGCTGAACATCGCAGGGAAAACATTCGCTCGTATCCATATCAATCGTCTGAACAACTACCTAAAACAAGGTCTCCTACCGGAAAACCAGTGCGGCTTCCACCGTCATCGGGTCGATGGAGCAATGAAAATAGTAGATATGTACACGGGCAGCATACGTGCGAACATAAACCAAAAGACACTTTGCGCAGAGTAAATTCATACAAGCGAGAACATAAACACAACTTCACACTATATCTCAGAAAAATCTTAGGTGGCCACAAAACATTCTCGACACGACCAT